CACGGGGAAACAACCAATAAAAGCAGTGCAGATCATCACGTGTCTGCGGACATTTTATGCGGTTGCTATGTATAATTTCAAGGGGTGCATTAGCTAGAACCTTGATTTGTGGCGCAGATTTCCTGAACTACGAAGCAGATCTCAAGCTTAGGTGTAACGTAATACGATCAGGAAAATTCCAACAAACGTTCGTTTTATCAAAAATTCGAAACCTGCATAAGAAACTACCTTTAGTGCCCTAACAATAAGTTTTTCTTGCTCGATTTTACAATAATTCGCTTTTATCTAATCATAATGTATACGCATAACCTAACATAAAAAGAATTTTGTCTGCGCCACACATTCAAGAATTGCTATAAACTTCAGTCACATCATCTGCAAATAACCAAAATGAGCTGTTAAATTCTGCCGAATAACCAAAATGAGCTGTTAAATTCTGCCGAATAACCAAAATAACACATTTTTTTCTGCATAATAATCTGTCGGCAACAATATATTTCCGTAACGTATGTACGTACAACTTATAATTATTCTTAGTTATGAACTAACGATTTAGCTATCTGACTAGTTTCCGAATTGTATTACACGGAATTTTGAAATTTAATCTTAGCGATAAGACATTTTGACATTAGCGATAAGAAATTCTTTATAAAAATTTGAAAATTCAACCTTAGCGATAAGAAATAAAAAAACAAATTGTATAAATGGGTGATGAATAAAAATCCAGTCGGGCAATCATGTGACTGCATTGTCACAATGGATTTTTCTATTTTATACTAAACGGATTGGTCATTATTTTGTTGGCTTGAAATTGTACCATAGGATGGAGAGTCTACATTATTAATACTATCTGGCATATCTACCGGCATATCTTTAAATATATAGAATATAAAACCGAACAGACCCTATATATAAAAGAACTGAAATTAGCAAAATAATGTTTACATAAAAATACACTAAAAATTTGTTTTTACAAACCCAAATAAGAAAATCGGATAACAATGATGCTGTAACTGCAGTCAACATGGCACTGAGTAAATTGTATTCACAAATTAGCAAATCCAACCTTGTTTTGGGGTTCATTCTTAAACAAATAGCTTCAGCATCAAAATGATCGTGAATAAACCAGCCGCCAGCATAAAATATAAAATATCCTGAAAAAGCACCAACAAGCACTACAAATATAATAAATTTATTACTTTTTTGAACAGATTAAAAGTAAGATTAATAAAAAAATTAGCAAACCTTGGATATTGTTACCAATGATGCCACCAATCAGTATTAATAGCAAAACAATGATCTCAACAATGCATATAATCAATTTAAAAATTATCTCAATCTCTATAGAAACTATTGTGCCAAGATAAATATAGTAATAAGAAGCGATAATGTTGGCGATCTATATTATTGACAAAAAAAGTATAAGAATCACAAATAGTCACAAATCTATACAGTATTTTTTTTTTAAAAAAAAGATAAAAAATTACAATTCCAAGGCCAGTCACAAGAATAAGAGGTGCTCTAAATAACAAAATTATATGTAAAATTGTTCAAAAATAGTAATTCAAACATTTAGCATACGTAGTCTCTACTTCCTTACAAATGCGGAGATCATTCATGGTGAAAAATAACAACCGAACAAAATAGTATGTATAATTAAAAAAAGTTGAGACCTTTTTTATATGCCAAGTATTTATAGCGACAATTCTCTGAAAATCATTTCACCGACATATTAGGATTAATTTTCGGTGAAATTACTGTCGGAGAGATCGTTGAAATCGTAATTCTGAAATGCTATAAATGGTTAAACGATTAACGCTACTGTTGTAAGTGGGAATGAAATTTTAAGCGGATTTGGAATTTCTTTGTATAAACCTAAAACCTAACTTAAAATCCCAAGAAATTCCAATCCACTTAAATTTCGTTCTCATTTACAGCATCTATATTTGTACTTAGTGTAATAAAAGCATGTACATTTATGCGTTTGTTGAATCTTCATATGATCCGGACACAACGTCGCGTATTAATCTGGCTATTAGTAGATTAGACATTACGAATCGGACGATCACGACGAACACGACTGTGAATAACGACTTTTATAATTGAAGTATTCAGTGATTAGAAACTTCTATTATTAAGACGTCGAATTTTGAGAACTCAACGATATATTTTATTACGAAGAAAAGTCTTTTTATTTTATGCCTTTTATTACATATAACAAAATGACCATAATTCGAATTATTACGTTATTATAATCATTCCAGCTATTCTAATATTTTAATAATTTCAGTAATCTATTTGTTCAAATTATTCTAATAATTCTAGTTACCCTTCGAGCATCAGGGTCGATCTTCCCTTTTACATACATACGTACGTACGTACGTATAAATTTGGGCACAAATATATATTTCACATGATCTGATTATTAAAGTGGGTTTATCAACAAAAACTAACCGTGTACATTGAAGACGTGAGAAGAATATCAAGATACGATTGTATTATTCGCTTGACAAGATTATTA